AATCTTAAACAACACAACCCTCGGTAAATTAAAAAGTGGAGGTCGCCATTTTGACAACGAAATCACGATACCCGGTTTTCGGCACTTCCCGGATCATACCGAAGTCCCTAATATGAAAATGAATTTGTGTTGAAAATCTGACTTTTAATCAAGCATCTAAGTCAGTAGTGAAATATGTGAAGGGCTCCACTTCTTCCATTGCATTTCCTGCCAAGGCTAAAGAGATGTACTTTATCTGTTTTTATCAAAAAAAGTGTCAGAATATCGATAAAATACCGCTTTAGTCAATTAATTGTTGTTTTAGTACGGATGATAAAAGTAAACAAATTCTACACCATGAGAAGTTTTTTTTTAACATTTGGTACAAAAGATTTCTAAAGTTTAAAGAGAGGCTTCTCTATAATTCTATATAGCAAAACGAGGTATATTGAAGCTTGAATTAAAGGACAGGACAATAAGATTTGAACGTTTGGGCATAGAGCCTTCTTCAGCGCACAGGACAAATGAAAATATCAAAAAGAACAGACTACAGTAAACAACTCACGAAATATCCATTTTTGTTGCCGGAAGTCGGATTACGGGAAGTGAGAGAATAGAAATATTGACACTGTGAAAAATAAGGTCCACAAAAATAATGGACCAAAATATCAAAGGATGCATAATCACACACCAATAAGCAGAAAGTAGAAATACAGGGAAACAGAGAAACATTAGTAGGAATTACTTGATTAATACCATATGGATATATGGTGCCAAACAGCTGAATAAATCTATTTTCCATTTTAACCCTTTCTGGTGAGCAGGAAATCAGTGCCCTAATGGTTACATCTAATGTACATTTATGTTCATCTCTGTTGAAATGTGAAGAGACTGGGGAAAGTTTGCCTTGTTCAATATCTCGGAAATGTTCAGTGAATCTATCAGCCAATCTTCTCCCAGCTTCACCTATGTAACTAGATTGGCATCTACGGCACACAATCGCATATAGCACATCGCGGTTAATGCAAGTGAAACCCTCTTTAATGGTAAAGATACCTTTAGTTTGGAGTGTGAAGGGACAAGTCCTACAGCGGGTTCTTAAGCATGGTTTAGTATCAAAGTAGGATGGGTCAGATCGGAGGCGACTATGAACCTAGAGTTTTGTCCCGTCTAAAGACAATCAGTGGAGGGGATGATCATACCTTGTTAGTATCAGGGTCAGCAAGAAGTATGTTGCGATTTTGTAGGAATATTTTTTTTTGGCAGTTAAATTGTGAAGGCGGTAGGTTAGTATAAGTTTGGTACGATCTTCATCGTTGTTTTGACGAGGCTTGAAAGCATCTTTCCGTGTGATCGTGTCGATGCGACCTAATAATAATAATAATAAAGCTTATTTCAAAACCACGCTTCATCCCCAAAGGCTCAAAGCGTGGTACAAAATCATCCATATTGAAATACAAAACGCAACATTACAAAAACTGCTGGCATCCGTCCGTCACAATGTGACGATGGAGTGGGCTTCGTAGGACGAAATCCACATAGCCTGGGATTATTATACTTGAAGGATTATAAGCTGGTTCCCAACAGCAAATCGCCTCTCTCCACGCCGCTGGGTAACCCAGGGGAACATCATTGGATGATACAGCTTGGCACCAGTGACGTCGCAGGAGTTGTCGGAATGTTTCATTGTAGCAATGTTATCCGCCTTTCGGGACTCCATCTCCGGGTTTGATTTCAGAGTTTCCTTCTCTTAGATGAGTTGCCGCCCAAGGTTAACGAGTCCCATCTATCCGGGGTGCTGGTTGTGTTTTTGCTCTAGCTGGAATTGAACTCCAGACCACCAGTTTAGATTTGCTCAGTTTAGACCACTCGGCCACCCAGCACCCAAATTACAAAAACTACATACGAGAATACCCATTCTAAGTCTTTCGTCCCTTGCAACCATAAACAACACAGGACACTTTACATCTAGGAGATAATAGTTAGCTGGAAAAGATGGTAGACAAATTCACCCAACAGGTGTTTGCGAAATAGATGTTATGTTTTCAATTCAGTTTTGAAAGACTCCAGTGTCTGGCTGTTTCTGAGAGCGACAGGAAGTGTGTTCCAAATTGTTGGGCCAGCAAATGCGCCTAGTGCTGAGACAAGAGTAGTTTCAGGATAGGATCTGGAGCTGAAGAAATCCATCATTTCATCAGCTCTTTCCAAAAATTCCTCATCAAGTTGGCAGAGACGCCGTAGTCTTAGAAGTTGTGCGCAGGATATAGAGCCTTTGCATGATTTGGGGTGGGAAGATGGGTATAAAAGGTAACTATGCTGTCAGGTAGGTTCAAATGTTTATAGTCATTTTTGACGCATTTCTAATGAATATAAATTTTAGCATTTATAGTTGGGGTAGATTATAGTGGGGTTGCTACAGAACCTTTGCGTGGGTCTTGCTGAACTGCGGCTGCAGAGGATCTCTGATATTAAAGGGGTCCAAAATTATTACGGGCAAAAATCTAAAAATTATCATCGAATGCGGGTGTTTGGCGCAACCCCCCCCCACCCCCCCCCCANAAAAAAAAAAAAAAAAAAAAAAAAAAAAAAAAAAAAAAACAAGAACTAAAAGTGGCAGTGATTATCGCCTGTCGGTGGAGGGGGTTGCTCTGGAACCTAACCCCGCAATGGACTAGAGACAACTGTCCATAATTGGCCACACATTTTCAGACCTTGTGCGATTTACCCTGTGGCGTACCTTCACTAAATGCCGCGTGGGACAACTCCAAAATTGCACCCCTAACGCACGTCAATTAAATAGTTTTATATAGTGTTGTAATAAGCATAAAGGCAGCCCACGGCGGTAGACCTCTTTGTCCTCCACCCCACTTTTCCCTTTTAAGTAAGATATCCACTAATTATCCAAGTTTCAACATGGGTCCCCGTTTCAACTCTTAAACTTATGGTTTATTAAATTCTATGTCATGTTTATATTCATGTGTTTTAATTTTTTTTTTTTTTGTATACATAAACATTTTCATCTCACTACTCTAATATATTTCATGATTTCTAGCGATTTTTTTTCAAGATTTTAAGTAATTTATATGCAACCCAAACCTTAAACTCGAAGAAGGAGCTTTGGTACACAAATTAATCTGGTGAGATATTGACAAATTAATCTGGTGAGATATTGACAACTTAATCTGGTGAGATATTGACAACCTAATCTGGTAAGATATTGACAAATTAATCTGGTGAGTAATCTGGTGAGATATTGACAACTTAATCTGGTGAGATATAATATTGACAACCTAATCTGGTAAGATATTGACAAATTAATCTGGTGAGTAATCTGGTGAGATATTGACAACTTAATCTGGTGAGATATTGACACCTTAATCTGATGAGATATTGACAACCTAATCTGGTGAGATATTGACAAATTAATCTGGTGAGATATTTATACCTTAATCTGGTGAGATATTGACACCTTAATCTGATGAGATATTGACAACCTAATCTGGTGAGATATTGACAAATTAATCTGGTGAGTAATCTGGTGAGATATTGACAACTTAGTCTGGTGAGATATTGACAACTTAATCCGGTGAGATATTGACACCTTAATCTGGTGAGATATTGACACCTTAAACTGGTGAGATATTGACACCTTAATCTGGTGAGATATTGCCACCTTAATCTTGTGAGATATTTACAACTTAATCTGGTGAGATATTTACACCTTAAACTGGTGAGATATTGACACCTTAATCTGGTGCACCGGCCCGCGAGTCGTGCGTTGCCGGTCCGCACGACATTAGCCAAGAAACGTTTTTTTTTGGGGGTGGGGGTGGGTGGGGTGCGGAAGTTAAATGTTTGAGTCTCGTTTAACTTAAAAAAAATCTAAATCGTCTTTTATTATGAAAATTGTCTGTAGTTGGTACAATACTTGTAAGACGTATTACAGCGTGTGAAAGAACTTGATTCTAGTAGAAACAGGAGTTTGACACAGCCAGCATGATATAAAAATATGTGATCAGAAAAATGCTCAGAAATGCTCCTCACAAATACCGTGCCACAAATGTTAAGGACCTTAACCCATTATCTCATTCACAACCCACGAACTAATAATAAAAAATATATATTTATATCTAGTAGAAAAATATAATACAGTTAGCCTACATGAACGTCATTTCCCATGGGTTCCTGCAGGACTCGAACCCTGCGCAAAATAAAATACAAGTAGGCCTACTACTTTTGTTTAATCTTGCAGGTATTAGATGAATTAAAAAAAAAATATGAAGAGTATAACATTAATTTTATAAGTACCGGTCAGGTCAAAGAGTTAAACATAAAGACTCCATAGAACATGGTTTTTCTGCGTGTACCACTGCGGTCCATTGTTTTGCTAAGTACACCGCCGGTGTGTAGGTAGTGCCGGCCTTGGATTAAACAGCTGTAATGGTAATGTCACTTGAAATTTAACAACCCTTAAAAACAAAGCTTTTCTCACAAATCTTTTACATCCATTTTAAATTTATTTTATTTTATATTAATATTATAATGCCCTTGAACCGCAGACTTATTTCACCAACACTTTCAGGAAAAAACAAGAGAAAATATGACGCACCAAATTAAGTTCACGCACTTGCCCTTCCCTTGCGTGACATCATTTATGGATGGTCCCTAACTATCACTATCCCTTGTATCTGTGCTATTGCTTGACCAACCTACAATATGCTTCAAGTTCAAGTGTAACCAGTGACTTTAGGGCGTAACTTGGATTAGTGTCGAAACTGGGCGAGCCAAAGTCCCCCCTCCTCCCATTAAAACTCCTCATTTGGCAAAAAATGCCATCCCTAAACTTATAGAAAAAATGCCACCCATCTTCTTCTTACATTAGTGCTCGTGACTGATGCCCGTTGTAAAGTAGCAATATTGTGAAGATTTTATAATTTAAAAAAAAAGCGAAACTTCTAAGGAGAAATGTTAACAGAGAGGATACGGTGCAGTATATCTGTTTCATTTCACAAGAGATTTACCCTAGGTATTTAATGTACAAAACATGTAGAAAAGTTGGCCAAGACCTGCACTTCAATTAGGCATATATTTTTCAAGTAAATTATAATTTATTCTCCTTTTAGGTCTACGCCTAATGCGTTAGAGTTGGTCTAACTTAATACAAATACTGCTGCCGTTGAGTCTACTATTAGCAAGTTCTTTACAGTATAATTGAGTATATTATATACTCGTACTGTCGTACTAATAAACTTAGACTTAAACTCATACAATTTACTAATTTACCATTTATTTTCTTCATCATTATTAATATTATTTATTATTAAATGTAATTTTTGATTATAAAGTTACTAAGTAGTAACAAAGTATGATTATACGCACCTGAACTGCACTTTTACCGAAATAATAATACTTTGTAATTTAAATTTGTAACATCATGATCATGCAAGACCATAATAATAATACTTTGTAATTTAAATTTGTAACATCATGATCATGCAAGACCATTTTAGGCATTTCCAACTACTTAGTCCAACGATTGAGTAATTTATTTCAAGTTTAAATTTTAGTTTAAGTTTAAGGTCCAAGACATTAAAAAAGACAATTTTGAATTAGACATACATAATCAGTAATAGTAATAGTTACTAATAGTAATAACAATATTAATATATTAGTAATAGTGTCAATTGTGGGCGATTAATAATACTATAATAATAGGCAATAATAATAGTCACTCAATAGTGTCAATAGCCACCCCCACTCCCCTTTTTTTCTTCTTCCAGTTGTGTCTCAATTATCAAAATTGCTAACTAAAATGATATTTTACCACCTTCCCACCACTCACACTTACAGATTAGATACAATTACATTTTATTAATAATTAGCCCCCATTTATCCATGTTATGTTCTATAAATTTATGCAAATACATTTCTTCACCAGGACCACATTCATCCATCATTATCTTTGTCTTTGAATTTAATGGCTTCATCCTCATCAGCAGTAAGTTGTTTTAATTTACATTTAATTGTCAACATTGAATAATCACAGTTTTATTAATTTAACAACTAAATAGACTAAGCCTATATGGCCATCAGGGCCGGATTAAGCCATCTTGGTGCCCTAGGCACAAACCCACATGGTTGCCCCCGGCCCCGATCCTCCACTGACTGCTGGTATTTTCAATATTATGCAAAAAACTAACAAAGAAAAATAGTTGTGAAATGTAAACACATATGTTTGTACTACTATCACTCATATAAAACCTACAGTAAGGTATTTCTGTATTAAAATTAATAGTTAGTTAATTTTGTAATAATAGTAGACAAAAATACTGTAACTTTTTTGATAGATAAGAAAGTCAGAGAGAGCACACATTTACATTTTATAGTTCTTTTTTCTAGATTTACGTCTGGCAAAGTTTTTGAGTACATCATCAAAGTTAATTTTGCGCAACAAGTCTGCCTCAATTATCAGCAAAGATGAGGAATCAAGCCTTTCTTGTTTCATTGTCGATCTACTTGGATTTTTTGTACGTTTCAACTGAGAAAAAGAGCGTTCAGTTGAACAGTTCGTAACCATTAATGTTAAAAATATGGGCAAGGCAATTTCTACATTTGGAAAAGCACACTCGATGTTGTCTCAAGCTATTACTTTGTAGAGTTCTGCATGACTGAACGTGTTGTTCTCAGATTTTGATGCACGAAACTTGTGGCGAATATATGAGTGGAACTGTTGTAGTTCAGTATATAAATTATTGTTCAGCTCTTCAGGATAAGCATTTATTAGTCCTTCACAACACTGAGATGTTTGTGGTACATCGACCAAACAAGAAAATCTAACTGCTAAATATACCTGTCCTCGTCTACTTATCTCTGTCTCAAATTTGTCAACAATGGTGTAGAAAGCAGATATACGAAATTTGTCTCTGGCATTTTGAGATACCTCAGGGGCATCACCATCAATAACCACTGTCTTTCGTTTACAATTACGGGTCAAAGTTGACTTATAATCCACACCTGGTGTTATTTCTTTTGCAGCTTGTTCAAATCTTTAAAATTCATTCCTAGATTCATGCAAGTGATCTGCTAGTGAAGAATACAAATCAGCACACGTTTTCAAGTTCACATGCTCATTTTGTGGAGCTTGACTGACCCTATTGAAAGTTGTTTTCACTAGCAGGCCAAAACGGAAGTGAATTTGTCGCTACGCACTAGTGCGTTACGTAGCAAATACATATCCCAGAAAAGTAAAAAAATAGCACCAAAAAAACCTTGAAGCAAAAAATTTTAAAAAAATGCAAAAAAACTGGGTGGGGGGTATTTTACCCCCGTGTTGTGGGACCAAGGTTAGGTAATGTGCGATTCAATATTACATTTGCGATTTGCTTATGTCATGCAATTACGCTACCGGGACAATATACACATTTTTCTTGAGGACTTGTGGTGCCCCCCAAATGTTTGGTGCCCTAGGCACGTGCCTTGTTTGCCTAGTGATTAATCCAGACCTGATGGCCATACTGACTGCATCCAGTTTGGAAATGTTTAAATATACAATATCATAACTTCTAAGTAAGGCTCTTTGTCTGCTTACAGTTTGGACATGGTAATTTACCAGAAAAAAGAAATAATTTAGTTGAAAATTCATTTTTGTGGAGCTAACTCCTTCGCCCACAATATATTAATTTTACTCTATTAATTCTTAGTGTTATTGTTGGGACTTATTTCATTTAATGATATTTTTCATATTTTTAGCGCAGCAACAAGGAAGCTGCACAAAAAAAGAAGTTGCAGAAATTTCTTAGAGAAATGGTGAATTTTGGCACTCTTCGAGGTTTCAAACATTTTTCCTGTTATGTTAGAGGAAAAGAGGAGCTTCTAATCACAGTGAACAATAAATTACCGGTAAGTATTTATGTACAGAAATTCAATAAGAATTCCTTGTGTAAAAATCACATGGAGCTGTGTTAAATGAGCATTGCTATACTTAGATTAAATAGATCTCTAGCTTTAACAAATTTAGTTTAGGTTTCTTAAAATTCCTTTGATTAAATAATGATTTTATAGTGAATCTAATCCATACAATTAGTGGTCCTAATTAAGCATATAGTAAAGGAAAACATGACCCCCGCCCCCTTCATTATCTTATGTTTTAAATTTCCTTTTCAGCCAATTGAGTTGTCTAGCCTACATCATATACTTATAAGTGTCATAGCAGTTGATGAAACTAGTTTAAAAAAAAATATATCTCTGTAATATACAACTGAGGAATAGAAATTAACACAAAGATTTAGAACTGCCATAAAGGGAAACTAAATGAAAAAAATATGCCCCTCCTGTCATTGCCTTAAGTATCTTCTTTTTTCCCTCCCCTCAATCTCTAAAATACATTTACCAAGTCACAATTAATTTTTTATAATTGTTTGAACCTGCAGGGTAGCAGTAACTCTTCACTGTTCATCACCAGTTCAGCTCCTTCCCCTGTTTATAAAAAGCCTCTTTGCCCAACCGATAGCTTTAGCTCCTCAAATTTGCCTTATGACAAGTAAGTATTTGCAGTCTTTTTTTTGGGGAATATTATCATGTCAAATACCAGGTATTTAAAAAATAAGACTCGTGGGCTACACGGGTACTGTTAACATCATAAGCTGTGAGCTTCCTCCTGAAACCATTTTTAAAAAAAACTAAAGCTTTTACAACAAACTAACTCACCCCCATGTGAACAGGTACCAACCATATTTTCGTGTAAATAAGATGTGGCTTATACAAAGTTTTACTTAACCCGCACCCAGGGTGGGTCTTATATTAGTTATACCTGGTAAATGGGTACGTCTTATGTAAAATATATTTTTTACACAAATTGTCAAAACCTACATCTTATATATGGGTGCATCTTATAGTTAAATGTGTCTTATATGCGTGAAAATATGGTAAGTATTTATTCACACGAACGAACGGTACAGTGTGTGATTTTGAAGGATGATTATTACGCTAGATATTCACAATTCACGATTTGCATTCCTAGTTTTAAAAACAATTAGGTAAGTGTTCCGTATTAACCATGTGTTCCAATCCAATGCAGGCCACTTCAAATTTAAAATGCTTTCGTTTCAATGTTTTGTATATCGTAATTATTGCAAATTTAAGGAAATAAACCACTGGATAAATTGCTCACTGCGGCAGATGGCTAGGCCATGTGTGTCTTAATAATAAGAGTCTTATGTAATTTTTCTTGACACAAATCATCAAAACCTGTGTCTTATATGTGGGTGCATCTTATGTAAAATATTTTTTGCACAAATCGTCAAACCCTGCGTCTTATAGACATGTGCATCTTATATGCGCCAAAATACTGTACCAGTACATAGTAAAAAATTTCCTACATTGTTATCCGTAGGAATTCCTTAGTTCTTTCAAACAATGCACAAGTGGGCCTCAGTGAAAAGAAGGATCAAGAAATTGGTTTGCCACCAGCATCACCATCAGAGGATGAAAGAAAGCCAGTAAGAAAATATTTTTTTAAACATGATTTTATTTCAAGACTTTATTTTGCGGAGCAAATATTCATATTTGAATAAAATAATAACACAATTTCAAATTCTTAGTTGTGGGCTTTGAACTGATCAGAAACTGTTTAGGATGATTTTCATTGAAAGTTGTTAATCATTCCACAAGCCAAAAGTTATGTAAGTTATGAAAGTCTTGTAAGAGAAATTAATGACAGTGCTGAACAATCATGAGTTTAATATAATTTTTATTTGACTACATTTTAATTGCCCTTGCTTTAAGATGCAATACAATTGCATTTATCCACCAAGTCTTAAAGGGTGAATAGAAATAAACCACATTTTTGTAACATTCTATTTTGGTCCACATTTAACTCTTTTTGTCAGGTCAGTTTTCTAGATCACAATAAAGATGTACCTCATTCTTTAATCCTAAGGAAGCTGATGTTACCTTGTTTCTCATTGCCGGCTACGCTCGCTACTGCTGCCCTTACGTTTGGGTCAGGTCGAACCATGAAAGGCTTTTCAAACTCTCTGGAGACCAAGATGATGATAAAGACAGCCCACTGAGACTCAAGTCAACAGCAAGGTGGAAAGACGAAGGTAGTTTTTTTTTTTACCCCCCCCCCCCCCCGTAGCACTTTTAACTTATTTGTTACCTTTTAGTTTTAATTGGTGATGAGATGTAAAAAAAAATGCTGATGAATTTTGTTCTTTAACACTACAGAAATCTGAAGATAACTATTCCAGATGGAAAACAACTTAATATAAAAACATCATGCATAACTGCAAAGTTGGTTATCTATAGCCTAAGTTCAGTGGAATGGACAGACTAAACAATAAACATATAGTAAAAAGCGCAAAATTGTTACCACTGTAAATAAGAAAATGATTGTAAATGTTATTTCATGACATCTGATCATGGTATCTGATTATGATATTTGATGATAATTCTATCAAAGATCACACAAAATATTGTCAAACGAAGAAAGTAATAGCAACTGAACATAATAACATGTAGGCATCATCTCTTTGTTTCAAACTAAATTCTTGTATTTTTATACTTGCTGAATATGCATCCTGTAATTATTTAGCACTAAGCAACAGCTGGCAATCATAAATCAGTGAAGGACGAGAAATGGCTAAATTGATTCTCAAGGATAAAACACCATTTAAAATACAGTTGAACGTGTGCGCTGGCTGGATCAGAATTACTTTCTCTTCTGAGTAATGTGAGGCATGAAAATTAATTTTTGTCGATATTTCATTGTATACTTTTGTTTAAATACATTACCACATATTCTCCTGATTGCTCATGGATCTTACAGATTTAACTATTTTATCGTTCATGAATCTCACAGATGTAAGAGTAATGGAGATTGTGGGAGAAATTGTCAAGCTGTGTACATTCCCTGCTCCGAGGAATCCCTTTGAGGTTGACCTAGATTACTTCCGTTTCTTGTCTCAGCCAGATCAGCTCTTGGCATCTGCTGCCATGGTAACATGGTTACAGAAAATTCTGCTCCATACACCTGATAGCAAAGCTTACATTGCTAAAGGTAAGTTACTTGCCTTACAAGTATTTCAGCTTCTGATAGTGTAAATGAAAGTTTGGATGTCAGTAGGTCTTGACTTTCAATCTTTGTTATGTAAGTTAAATTTCCAAAGTTGAAAAAGCTTTCTTTTAGAAAATTGTGGTATTTATATAATTTTATATGTTGTCCAAATTTAAAATAATGAAAAGTTAGCACTTGTAATTCGTTTAAGTGCACAATTTCATTTAAGTGCACAATTTCATATATACTATTAATTTGCCAATTTATTTCTTTAAAATTCTAAGAAATATAAAACAACAATTTTTTATGAAACAATTAACATTTGTCAACCGTTTAATGCACAAAACAATAAAAATATATAAATAATTGTAAGATAAATCACTGCTACCATTTTCTCACATGTTCACCATGCAGGACAGAAATAAGTCATTAGTTATCAACAAAGAGGAGATTAGTGACACATCTTGTGAATTGTCACTATGTTGTAGTTATATGGATACCAAATGATGTTGATAGGATATTTCAGAAACACATCACCGAAAATAAAACCTAAGATTACTCATTTTTAAAAATGTGCTGGAGATCGTGTTTACCTGCTTGTTATGTGAACTTGAAAACAAAAAAAATGACACGTTGAAAAAAATAATTAAATTTTGGATTATTTAAAAAAAATTATCTTGGAGATTATTTACAAACATTTAACCCGTGGATTACTGGTCATTAAAAACATTTAACCTGTGGATTACTGGTAATTAAAAACATTTAACCTGTGGATTACTGGTAATTAAAAACATTTGACCTGTGGATTATTTTAAAACATTTAACCTGCGGATCATTTAAAAAAGATTTTAAAAATAAATGTATACTGGTAGTTGTTTTTTCTTGTGTAATTTTTGTATACCGGCATGAAAATTGGTGAAAGGGGATTAACTTATATTTCTGTAACGCGGGAGGTTTTTCTGAAATTTTTTGGAATCTCTGATCTCATAAAGCTTTCAATTAAAATAATTTGCCCTTGTTTTCTGGGCTTGTCTATTTAAGAATAATAAAAAAAGAAAATTTTAATTAGTCAGTTAAGATGAATATCATTGTGAAATATTATATGCTACTAGCTATAGCTTGCCAAACATTGGTGACAGCACTGCATGAACTTCCCATCTACTAAAGTTACTTGACAAAACATAAACGCAAGTAACCAAGTAACGCACATTTAAGAATCTCAATTTTTGCTTCACCCCTCCCCCCATCATACGTCTCTGCACACTTTTTAATGTCAGGCCCATGAACTCTATTAATATTCTGATGTCCCAACCACTGTTAAACCGATTATTAATTACACCTTATTTAAACTGAGAAGATTTCATTTTCCGAAAGGAAAAGACAATATTATGCACCAAAAGCATCTGCGTTATTTAAAAAAAAAAGAAAAATCTCAGTCATGACTCTCAGTCCAAGTACGCTGAATAGGAAGCAGCCAGCTTTAACTGAAAATGGAAGCAGTCCACCACAAGCATAATACATTTAAGAGATTCTTGACAATATTGATTTGTTGCAATAATCATGTTCTGCATTCAGTTTGTTTATCTTAGAAATGCATTTTATTGTTATTTCAGTCTTTGAAGAACAGCAACTCATATCAAAGCTACACTTTAATAGTTTTCGGGAGGTAACTCTTGCAGGCAAGCTCCCAATATTTCAACAACATCAAAGAAAGAGATCACAGCAGCAGCCCAGCCAGGGAAAAGCTGTGTTTCCGGGTACACCACAGCAAATAACAGCCCCACCCATGTCACAAGTGAGAGCACCACAAGTGACAACTGCGCTGCCAGTGTGCCGAGAAAATTCCCTGCCTCCATCAATGGTCAAACCACAGGTCCAAAAGTTGCCTTTATCAAGACAACCAGCAGTGGATCCATCTTTTATGTCTGGTTCAGCGGCTCCACCATTGACAGCATCAACACCGACACTGAACTCTCCTTTACTAAGAATGCCCACAACTCCACTGCTTTTAGTGACCCCGCCTAATAAACCTATACCTGGACCAACATTGCCAACTACAGTTGTCCAAAATGTGTCTTCAGATGGCGCACCTCAGAGTGCTCAAGTGTCAAGGCCTTTCGGTCCTAGAACAACAATGTCTGCTACTGCCCAGCATCTTCCTTTGGGTTTCCCCCCAAACCATGCAATGTCACGTCCTGTCCAAACGACCTCTATTCGACCTCAGTCAGTTCCTTTTACTTCTTCTAACGCTCAAGTCACACTGTCTTCTCAGGAATATAATCAATTCTCTGCACCACCCACACATCCATCCAAACACACTACGTTCAGTCAGCAAACTCCAGCCCTGTACTCTCCCCAACAAAACCCCCAGATGTCACATATGACTCGGCACCCTCAATCATCCAACATGACTGCCCCCACCCAACAACGTCCTCAATCATCCAACATGGCTGCCCCCACCCAACAACACCTTCAGTCACATAATATGGCTCCACCCGCACAAGCCCGCCCTCAGCCGTGGGGTCAGACAGCCATGCAACCTTCACAAGCCCAAGTGCAGAGGCCGTTTTATCAGCCCGCGCCTACAGCCCAGCCCTCCGTTCCATCAAATCCTGTTGGTGTCGTATATGGCAGTGGACCCCGAGGAGCGTTCCCAGGAGGCTTTGACAGAATGCCTGCTCCTAGTATGTTATAAACATCAAATCTTTTTTTTTTTTCTTTTTAATGTCATTGAAGGAGCTTAATTTTCATAAAATTGTTTCAAGCAGCAACATTTTAACATGCAATTTTTCATTGATTATTCAGGTATTTTCAATAATATTTTAGCCTTACTTATTTTCATTATTATCATAACTATTATTCCAGAATTTCACCTTTATTATACGATCACACCGTGATATAAGAATAATCATAATTATTATTAGCTATTGTAATTTTACTTATTCATGGAAAGAAAGATTTAGGGACTATTGCCATGCATTGCTTGGGATGTTGGCTTTTTTCCCCGTTTTCATTTTACATTACATAACAAATTAATACCGGTATTATTTTATCTGCTTTTTTGAGCTGTCGTAAATAATTTGAATATCGCTACATGTTAATTTTCAATAATAGTAATAATTCATAAGAATAACTTTAAAAAAAAGAATGTTGTCATTTTACTTTTTCAAGGGAAACATTTAAATGAAATGTCATCTGACTAATGCAAGGGAAACATCTAATTGAAACGTCATTTGACGAATGCAAGGGAAACATCTAAATGAAACATCATTTGACTAATGTAAGGGAAACATCTAAATGAATTGTTGTTCTTAGACTAATGCAAGTGCAAGGGAAACATCTTAATGAAATGTTATCATTTTAACTAAGGCAAAAGAAACATCTAAATAAAATGTCACTTGACCAATGAAAGGGCAAACATCTAAATGAAAGCCCCTGAATAAAGTCTTTGTATGTGTTTGACCAAGTATTTCTCCAGTATTAAACTTAAGTAGATCATATTTCTTTGTTTGTTTAGATGAACTCAGATTAACTGACATACTTTTAGCCATAATTATTTCTTAATTGTAGAGGCATTCAATTTTTGGGTTAAAAGTTTTTTTGTTTAAAAGGTACCATAGTTAATCTGATGATAAATTTTTGGTGTATTTACCAGGCACTGAGACTTTTTCATCAATAAATATACTGTAATAAACATATCATTATCAGCCATACAACGAAATGTTGCATTAATTTTAAAAACAAAATTAAATTTCCTATACATGAATCATCAGTTCTTGCAATTTTTATTTTGATGGCCTACATTCCAAAAGCAACATACAATTTTTGAGATGCTTTGTTATATAAATGCTTTATACAAGACTATTCCTTGTGATTACAAATTTTTTTTGTATTATTTATTTTTCATTGAATGTCCTGTAACCAATTTAGCCATGATATTATTTTATTAATGCAGAAGGTTTGCTCATTTCTTGTAAAATTCGTCCCATCAAAGATCAAATGTAAAAAAAATGTCACTATCACTATATGATGGTAAGAATTGACAGTTGTTAAAAAAAAAAAAAAAAAAAAAAAGAAAAATAAATATATTTAATAAATTCCGCGTGCCAGACAAATCAATCTTTCAGTTCATCGAATATTGTGATACCGTACTCTCAGAGGTCATCTTTTTTTTATTTGCTGTTAAGAACCCATGCTTGCTAGCTAAAAAATTAAACCGATTCTCAACTATGTATTTACCTCCGATTGCTTGGTAGTTAAATATGGTCATTTTTTAAAACTTTCTATTGATACATTTGTCTTGATGTTGAGCACTTGGGCATTGTTGCCCCTATTTTCTAATCAAAAGCATACAAAAAAAAAAAATTAGTCACATTTGTTTTTTTAAAGCCTTTTTTTTTTTTTTATTGCTTGTCTTGTGTGTTGAGCAAAGAAAGAAAATGCTGACTTTGTGATGGATTTTAAATTTTAGCATTTTATAATCAAAAGCATACAAAAAAAAAAAATTAGTCACATTTGTTTTTTTAAAGCCTTTTTTTTTTTTTTATTGCTTGTCCTGTGTGATGAGCAAAGAAAGAAAATGCTGACTTTGTGATGGATTTTAAATTTTAGCATTTTGACTACCGGGGTACCAGTCTCCCCGTTAATCATAGAATTATTTTTATAACTCCCTGTATACTTGGAAAATTATTTTTGAGTAAAATGACATGTGCATCACTTGTTATTCACATTCCAAGTTTATTTTAGTTTCAATATAAATTCAGAGAGCTGGTATTCCTACATCCTTTCAAGCTGCTGAAATTTACTTTCACTTTGAAGGATTTAAACTGGTTAATAGCTTTATTAAAATATGCAACAATGAAGTGCTTTTTGAATAATGTCGTGTAACGTAATTTGGTGGGACTTTATAGAAGTCTGCTCAGTGATGACACGAGTAGAAAATAACGAGTTCTAGTTAACTAACGATTATTTCTATTTTACAGATGCGCATAAACTTTGCCTACATTTCTTGCTTAAAAGATCACCTTTTACATCTTTGTGCCATTTGCAAATTTGTCTCTATTATTTTTTTCTTTTTTTGCACTTTATTCGCCTGTAATGGTAAATATATCTATATCACTACTAACACATTGTTTATTAAGTTATATTACTGTAGATCAGGGATCCCCAACGTGGGTTACTCTGACCCCCCCCCCCCTCTCATGTGTTTCCCTTTTAATTTTCAAATTGAGGGTTACTCTTGTAGTTGCAGGTGCTAGACTTGGCCAAACAATTTGTAAGGGTCCAGAATGTAGAAAGGTTTTGATAAACCCAGCTGTTGAATATCTCCCCCCCCCCCCCCCCCCC